GGGGGGGATTATATTCTGTTCTTTGATTGCTGTAAGTTGGAATGAACTTGGTGGTAATGGGATTGGTCTTGATTTTTTTTGTCTTTGGGTGGAGTGAATAGGGAGATAATTCAGTATTTCTTTAATTTGGGTTCTAACATTTTTATTTTTACTATAACTAACAGAAATTTGGAAAATCTACTTTTTAATATGGTTGATAATAATGAAAGAATGTTGTCAATATAATGGCTACTATTTACTAACTACTCTTTCTAATGGCTATATACTTACCAACTTCAATTCTTTTAGTAACACTGTAAGGTAGTTATTAGTCTCATTTGCTCAGTAAGAAAACAGAAGCTTAAGACAAATAAGTGCATTGCTATGTTTACACAAGTGGTCAATCTGCTCAGCAAATACTATGTGAGCCTACTGTGTTGGCCTTGACATTATACTTGGGCACGAAAAAGACAAGATACCTAGTTTGGGCAGTTTTCTTTTTAGTAGCAAATAAAGGAGTGTTATAGTCCAAAACTGTTCTTCCATGTTCCCTTCCTTCAATGACATTCCAATAGAGAGCTATAAAGATATTTCAATACCACTTGGGTAGTCACTGGGGATGGCAACTACATATGAAAGGATGCTGTAGGGAAGAAATATTGGTGTGTAGCAGTATAAAGTACTGAAGAGCAAGGATGCCACTTTAAGAGATAAGATGTGCCTAACCAAAGCCATGGTATTTTTAGTCACTTGTTATTTTGGACATGTTGTCAGGAGAAACCATTTCCTGGAAAAGATGATCATGCTTGGAAAAGTGTAAGGGTTGTGAAAAAGGGAAGACTCTTGAGACAGACTGGTACCAGTGGCTGGAGCAATGGGCTCAAATACAGCAATCATGAGGATGGCAAAGGGCCAGGCAGTGCTTTGTTTTGTTGTGCATAGGGTCGCTACCAGCCAGAATGACCCGATGGCACCTAACAAAAACGACATCAATATACGGCAAAGAAACCCCCTAGAAACAATTTTCTGTTGATGGATAGACAGCCTACACTGGATAAAGACTTGGCTTCTGATAGTATGTAATGCAAAAGTACTGGGTCCTTGTCGTTAAATGTCAAATATCTTTAAAGATCAGTATTATCTCCGTCTAATCCCTGTCTGTCCAAAACAATCGTAATTAGCCACTTATATGGCTACGGAGAAACTGAAGAACTGAATTTAAATTTAAAAACTGATACTCTGTCCAATTACTGAAAATCTTTCCAGCATGTCTGAAACAATGTTAAGTATGTCAATCTATGTTTTTCAACTGTATAATTCAGTAAATTTAAACACAGACCAAGTATTTCTCGTGAAATTTTACATTTGAATTGAGATGTGCTGTGAATGATATATTAGCTTTTGGAGAGTCTGTATAAAAATTAATGCAGTATTATCTCATTAATGACAATACTACACTGATTACTGCTGAAATGGTAACATCTTGGATAAACTATATTAAATAAAGCATGCTATTAAAATTCCCCATTTCTTTACTACTTTTTAAAAAACTTTTAAAATGCATCTTTCAGAGAGTTTCAAATAATATATATATGTATAGCTTGCATTATATTTGTATCTGTCAGTGCTATATAATCTATGGAGACTTGGGGAAGATAGTTTGGGTCATCTATTGTATCTTATTCTGGCATAAAAATCTTATCTAACAGATTGTATTGTTTTTGTTATAATCAAAAGCTATGTACTGCTCACCATTCTTTCTATTACTGTTATAGAGTTATTATAGATGAAGTACTTGGTCTGTATTGCATGGGTTTTAGACCTAGTAAGAGAAGTGCTGGGTGAGCTGAGAGTCCACCACGGGTGTCTTGCCTTCCTATGCATCCTGCTGGGTTTTCTAGAATGCAGCAAGGCTCTGAGACTATTCTTTACTCAGGGCGCTTCTCAGCACTGTGTTTACAGTTACCGTCCTTGAGGTCTGAGGTCATGTCCTCCCTCTAGAACAAAGAACAGTTTGCTTCTGCTCATTATAAAAGCAATGAATTCTCAAACTTGATATTCCTTAAGTACGATGAGAAACCAATACATGTGTAATCATAGGTATGGTGCTATTGCTGTTGTGTTGTCCCACAGAACTTCAGAACAAGAGAAGTGATGCAAATATACTGACGCTCACACTGCCTGCTGTGCTGAGTGAGAAAGGTCTCTGCCACTGATCCAGGATCATCCTGTCCCCTGCTAGCATCCATGAAACAGTAACAGACTAACCGATTAGTTTACAAGTAGGATAAAATCAAGCCTCATATCCAACATGCTATGCTTAAGATGCTGTATCTATATTTACAAGAAGTTGTTTAAAATGATTAAGTTTTATTTGGCATAATATTTTCCTTTCTTATATAACAGTTTACAATTTTTAAAAATTAGCTAATTTGTTGAAGCCTAGTTTTTAGTGTCATAGATTTTTTTTATAATGAAAAGTTTAGGAATTTTCATTATAAAAACAGCTGAGAAAATTTAGCTTAATCTTTGTTAGGAATCATGTTATTTACACATGCACCTATATGTAATTGCAATATGCAAATCCACAAATTATACATTTATTTCCTAAATTAAAAAAATTTCCCAGAGTAAGTTCTTAAAAATAGAAACAGAGAGGGAACATAAATATTAGACAGATTTTTAGAAGAAGCATTTTACAAATTCATGATACAAATGTTTGGGACAAACACCAATGTTATAAAACTTACAAAACTGGGTAAGAGACAAGCACAGATATCAAGGGCTCAAGTAGAAAGAAAACGCTTTGAGAATGCTGATGGCATCAAGGGCTCAAGTAGAAAGCAAATGTTTTGAGAATGAGGACAACAAATGTACAAGTGTGCTGGGCACAGTGGATGTATGTTTGGATTGTGATAAGAGTTGTACGAGCCCCCAATAAAATGATTAAAATTAAAAAAAAAAAAAGAATGATGATGGCAGCATATGTACAAATGTGCCTGAAACAGTGGATGCATGTATGGATTATGATGGGAGATGTAAGAGCCCCCAATTAAAGTAATTCATATACATATAAAAAAGATACAAACACAATATATTTTGGTTAGAATCTCAGAGATGCCTTTTTTTCTTTTCTTTTCCCTTTACCTCAAAAGTTACAAATACTTTTGAGGCAGCATGTATTGTTGCACTTTTGATTTTTTGCTGCACAGTTAATGAACTTGAGAGTCTTGATGACTGGTGATCATCTATTTGGCCTTCCCATTCTTTTGTTTCCTCTTCTTTGATTAATAAAGGTTTTCCTATGCTCTGGCCAACAAGGGTACAGACTTCTTGAGCTTTACGCCTTGCGTTCTCAACAGCAACAAGACAGGCTTTCCGTCTTAGGAATTAAATGCAAGGATTATTAATAAGAGAATGACGAGCCGCTGCACTGAACAGTTTCAGGAATTGGTCACTTACTTAAAGATGTGCTTAACTTACCGGAGTGTCTCAACAGAGCCTGGTGTATGATAGAACTGTGGTGGGCTGATGACAACAGAGCTATCTAGCTTTTCAACAAGAAAGTTACAAATAGTTTGCATTTTTCCAAATTCAGTAAATGTAATGCAGACCTGTAATGAAAAGACATTTGAAATTATTCTCATGCATGATGTACTGTTCAAATTTTCTTCTCAATGTGAGTTTAAAAATAGTAAAGTCAAATTTCACAGTATGTAACTGATAAGAAAAGGTTACCTAATATTTATAATGAAAATAAAACTATTTTGTTACTAGATTTAGGATTTTTCTTATTTATTTTGAACTTTGTGGTTGTTAGATTTCATGTCAACTTACACCTGGATGAAAGTATCGGGGTGGAGTCCAACCTGTCAATGATGATGCCTCCTTGAAGGTGTGGCCTTTTTACCCTTGGCCTCCCTGCTTGCTTGGGTTCCGTGTCTGCCTCTAGGGGAGATCTCAGACGGGCACTAACCCTGGGAGTTGCCAGAGTCTTGCCATGCTCCCATGTGACTCTGCATGCACTGGCTTGTGAGGGCTCGGCTTCCCTCTTCACCTTTCTGCATCTTTGGCCTGCAGCCCTGACGCAGGGACTTGAGTTGGTCTGGGATGGCACACCTTCTTCTTCTTCTTCTTCTTTTTTTTAACGAGAGAGGAAAATGAGGCACCAAGAGCTGCATAAGAAGGGATTTCAACCCCCATCATCAGACCCCAGTCTGATGCTGTTTCTGTGTGCCATGCCTCTCCCCAAACAGTGATCCCCCCTGTCCACTGCAGAAGTCCCTACACCTTCTTGATATAAAATTACTTCTTGATATAAACTTCTTTCTTACATATACATGTCACTGGTTTTGTTTCTCTAGACAACCCAGCCTGACATGAAAGTTATATAATATTGACTTGCGTATTTTAAAATTTTCCTTAAACCAAGAAAGGACTTTTTATGAAAGCAAATGGAAGGAATTCCCTTGCTTTAATTGGGTAAATTCCAACTTTAATTTCCATGTCATGGACTTCCTGAATTACAGGACTAATGTCACATTACATTTCAGTACTTTTCTTCCAGTAGCTATTTTCACACCAGTTTAGTGAAGCACATTTACAGTGAACCCTCGTTTATCGCAGTTAATCGGTTCTAGACCCTACCGTGATAAATGAAATTCCGCAAAGTAGGATTCTTTATTCGTAAATCAAATATTTTCGTAGTTAGAGCATAGAGGACATGAAAAAACACCCTTTAGTCACCATTACACCCGTATTACCCAATTTATTCAACGAAAAAGGGGAAATGCAGTAAAACATTTTGGACATTACAATTATCATTTATTATTTATTATATTATGAAGTACAACAGATGGAGTGAACGGAAGACTCATTCAAGTCGAAATGGCGTGCAACCTCCACGATTTTCTTGCCATCTTTGATCATATCCAAAAGTTTTACCTTTTCCTGGATGGTGAGCATCTTCCTCTGGCGCTTATTTTTGTCAGAAGGCTTAGAAGAAGCAGCTTGTTTAGGAGCCATCATAGGGCTTAGATAAAATTTCTTTAAAATTGCAAACAATTACAGTACACTGTACAAAAGCAAAAATGCATCTGATACGTAGCTCAGATACGTAGCGATGCAGACAGAAGCGTGTACAGTATGAGCTAATCAGTGGCAGTAATGACAGAGCATACGCTGTTACGCAAAAACCGCGATAGAGTGAAGCTGCGGAAGTTGAAGCGCGAAGTGGCGAGGGTTCACTGTATTTTACTCATAGTTTCACTCTCTATATCCCAAACAGTCAAAATATGTTGAAGACTTTCTATTCAGTATTACTTTATAACTATAGCCTTCAAACTTTCCATGGAAGCAGACTAAATTTTCTAAAGAAAACTAATATGTAAATATAAAACACATGTGCTAGAAAGGAAGGCCTGGGTAGGGAACAGAAACGGAGGGGCGAAGTGACCTGAGTGATCAGACACTCTGCAGGATGGTTTACAAAGCAGTCTTTGACATTAGTGCTATCCAGTGTCAAGCTAAGGCTCTGTTCGGATCTGGTTTCAATACTAACAATCAGAGCAATATGAGAAGAGCAAGGGTTCAATTCACCACTTCAAACTGCAAAAGAATGGGAGACACTAAAAGTGATGTTCAAATTGCACATTTTGTTAATAAAAGCATGTTATTTTCTCTTTAGCTGGAACATACTCCACTTTCTATTATTCCACTAGCTTCCTTTCAAGAACCAGTTTCTTAATGAGCAGTCCATTCTGCCTCTGTGTCATGATTACTTCCTTTCTTAATCTCATGTTTGCTTTTATATTTAATATCTCAAGTAGGTCTGGAAAGTTATCAATGAGCTTCTGAACCTGTCTCTTACTTACTAGTATTTGTTCTTTTCACACTGCCAGATCTTCACTTAAAGTGTGCACTAACTGGGCACCAGCCGCCCCCCTGGACAACTTCTCTTCCTTTGTTTCAGAGACACATTTTTATGTTTATTTTTCAAACCATTTCCTCCCTCCCTCTATTTTTCATAGACTCTACTCTTCATTCTCCTGTCCCTTATCCATTGGTTTAAAATATTTCAACATCTATGATCATTTCTGGAACTCTTCTACCATCATAGTTTACTTTTCAGGTTTTAAAACTTGTAATTGAAACTTTCAAATATCTAAAAAATGAATTAGTAGTATAAAGAACCCCCACATACTATTAACCTCATGGCAATTTTTACTTTTCACTTCATATACACTAAAACATACTCCACCCTCTTTAGTGTAGAGTTCTAGGAGTTCTGACGAATGCACAGTTATAAAATAAAGGGGGAACCAATTACAAGGATCTACATGTGACCTCCTCTGTGGGAGACAGACAACAGAAAAGTGGGTGAAGGGAGACGTCAGACAGGGCAAGATATGACAAAATAATAATTTATAAATGATCAAGGGTTCATGAGGGAGGGGGAAATGGGGAGGGAGGGGGGAAAATGAGTTGATAACAGGGGCTTAAGTGGAGAGCAAATGTTTTGAGAATGATGAGGGCAATGAATGTACAAATGTGCTTTACACAATTGATGTATGTATGGATTGTGATAAGAAATGTATGCGCCCCTAATAAAACGATTAAAAATAAAACAAAACAAAACCATGACATAGACTTATACAATAACCATTCCACTACCCTTCCAAAGTCCCTCAAATAACTCCTTATGGCCTTCTTCTCCAGCTACTCTAAAGCCTTGGCAACCACTAACTACTCTGTTTCTGCATCTCACAGACTTGTCATTTCCAGAAAGTCATGTAAATGGAACCATGCAGTATGTAGACTTTTGAGTCTGGCTGTATCTGTTTTGCACAATACATTTGAGATTTGTCCATGTTGTATGTCATTTACTCCTTCGTGGTGCTTAGTAATACTCCTCTATGTGGGCAGACTACAGTTAAAAAACATGGGGGTTATTTCAATTTGAAGCTATTAAGAATAAAGGTTCTTTCTCAAGGTTTTGGCTGCTCTAGGTCTGTTGCATTTTTAAATGAATTTTATGCTTATCACTTTCTACAGAAAATGATGGCCAAGATTTTGATTGGGACTTCAGAGTCTATAAATCAAATTGGGGAGGAAGTGGCAATGTTAATAAAATTGAGTCTTTCTGAACCATGAATGAAACAGAGTTGTTTATTTAGGGTTTTAAATTTTTTCCCTTAATGCTTTATAGTTTTCAACATATTCTTTTATCGGATTTATTCCTAGGCATTTCATATGGAATTGCTTTTCTACTTTTAATGTTCAATTGTTCATTGATAGTACAAATGGCTTTGGAATATTGATCTCATATCCTGTCACCTTGTTAAATTCATTTTATTAATGTTTTTTCCCTCCTTCTCTTTATTAGTTCTGATAGCCTTTTTGTTAAGTTCCAATGGCTTGTCTACTATATGGTTCTTGAATAAAAATTTTATTCCTTTTCAATCATTTATTCCTTCTTCTTGCCCTTATAGTTTGCTGTTATGAGGTGGAAGTTAGTAATTGTCATCAGTTAAATTTGGTTGATAGTTTTATTCACATTTCTATATTTTTACTCATTATGTCAACTTGTTTTTATCAATTATTCAAAAAGAAGTAATGAAATTTCCAAGTAAGACTACACATATAGCTATTTCTATTTTTCCATTTTTGCTTCAAGTACCTTTAAGCTCTTGTATTTGGTGCAGAAATGTTTACGTTTCATCCTTTTATGATTAACCTCTTTATCATTACGGTCTTTTTTTAATCTATCATGTTTTATTTTGCTCTGAAATCTTCCATGTCTTATAGTATCACAGCCACTTCAGTGTCTTTGGATTCATGCTCACATGGTGCATCTTTTCCCATCATCTTACTCTTAAGCAAGTTATGTCTTTATTTTTTCCTCCTAGATTATATATTTAAAACTTTACACTGTTAGCAATTTATTTCTTGAAAGTGAGTTTCTTTCCGAGAGCATATATTTCTACACAGCACTCCTGTACAATTGCTATCACAATTCAGTCCAGGTAGTTAGACAATTTATATTTAATGTGATTATTAATATGGCTCAGTTTAAATCTGCCATCTTGCTATTTATTTTCTATTTGTCTCATTTTTGGCCCTTTGTTACTTTATTCATCATTTTCTGCCTTCTTTAGGATTGAGGTTACTACTATTATTCCATTTCATATGTCACTACCTTATTGGTTATAATTCCTTTTGTTGCTATTTTAGTAACAGCTTTAGTTTATTGTATACATATTTAACTTATCAATCTACTTTCAAGAGATATTTTACCTTTTAATGTATGCCTAAGAACTTTATATTACTATTTGTCCTCGACTTACCTGCTTGCTACTGCTTATATTTTATTTTTATGTATGCCACAATACCTACCAGCACATTTCATTGTTTTCATTAAACTGTCAATTATACGTAAAACATTATCTAGAAGGTTTCTTATATATTGATTTATCCTTATAGTTACCATTATTGGTGCTCTTCATTTCTTTGTGTAGACTGGTTTTTTCCCCTCTTCCTGTTATTGATTTCTTCCTGCCTACATATCTTTCATGCTTTTTGTAATGCAGGTCTGTAGGAGATCTATTTTTCTCAGCTTTCATCTCTCTGAAGATGTCTTTCGGCCTTTGTTCTTGAAGGACGTTCTTTATAGATATAGAAATCCACAGGTTGAAAGTATTTTCTTTGAATATTTTAACATATTGTTCCATGGTTTCCTTGTTAGCTTTCTGCAGAGAAATCTACTGTCACTTTATCTATTTCCCTTCTGAACATAATGTGTCTTTTACTCGGGCTCTTTTAAGATGTAGGACTGGCTTTGAGCAATCTAATTATGATGTAGTTCTCACATTTCTTACATTTTGAATTTATTAGAATTTTTGGATCTTAGGGTTTATAGTTTTCATCAGGTTAAAAAAATTCCTAAAAAATCCATGATTTCTTCAAATATTTCTATTTTCTCCTAATCCCCTCCTTTTGGGGCTTACAGTTCTCCTAGACTTCTATCTTTTCCTACTCTTTGAGATGCCAACATGATATGGTGATGATATTAGAGCAGCCACTTAGGACACAGCACTGAAAACTGTGATTACGTATGCATGCATAGCTGGCTATCTCCTGTTAAAAGCAAGGCAAATGCCTTTATCTTGCTTAAGCCAATGTGTTTTGGGTTTTGTTTGGATTGTTCCCAAAAGTCAAGTGGTTATTTTTACTGTATATTAATAGCAATATATTTGGGTATCCTCTGACATGATGTGTGCTTAAAATACTTTGCATACAATTTCTACATTCTTAAAATTCATTCTTTAAGATGACATCCTCCCGATATTATCTCAACTACACAATAGCAACACTAGGCAAAAAATGTTTCCGCTTGGTCCTAAAGGGCTGCAATTTTAAAGTCCACTAAACCCACTTCTGTCTAATCAATTCAACTCAGAGAAGCCGCAGGGAAAGCAGAACTGCTCTCTGGAGTTTCCAAGGCCATAACCCCTCAGGGGAAGAAACTGACTCTCTTCTCTCCTGTGCAGTGCTTGGTTCGCACTGCTGAGCTTGTCGTTAGAAGCCCAACTTACAACCCAATGTGCCAACAGGGCTTCTTTGGGTGTCCTACCAGAGAAATAAAATTCAATTGGAGGTAATTTTTTATATCCTCAAAACCCACTGTTTTATTGTAAAAATCCCCTCCCCCGCCCACCTCACGTAAACACTGACATTTATGTAGATCCTCAACTCATGCACAATCTCCTCAAAAGTCAGACTTAAAAAAAAAAAAGCCTTTTGACACTAAGATTGCATGTCATGAAAATACATAATGAAGTAGGCTACTCACATAAGAATCATCAAGCCAGGGTTTTAATCAAGTGCCCTTCATCCCTCACATAACTACTCATCCGCTCTTACATAAGTCACTTAAAATTCTCAACCTTCATATACATTGGGTATATTATTTTTAATCCTTGAATCACACAGGCTGGTGTGTGGCTTCCAAGTGGACTTAGCTGACACCTCACTTAGATGGCTGCTTGTTTGAAGACAAGCCTTTAAGTCCCGAGACACTGTATTTTTTGATCCCCGGACACTTTGCTATAGCATTTTAGTTTCAGCAATAAAAAAACAAACCCAAACCTCACTGTCATCAAGTCAAGGCTGACTCATTGTGACCCTATAGGACAGGGTAGAACTTCCCCCATGAGTTTCTGAGACTGTAATGGTTAATAGGAGTTCTATCTCGGAGATTCTGGTTTCAAACTGTTAACCCTGCAGATTGCAATCCAATGCAGAATCACTACACCATCAGGACTCCTCCCTTCAAGAATAAAAGTAGATGATAAGTTGTTCCCACAATTTTAGACTACTAATGACATACCTCTGCTTCCATATGATAAGCATTTTCTACTCTTCTGAAATCCTTAGTCACTGTTACATTTTCTGCCTGAAACAGAAAGTACATGAGCATAATTAGCAAATAATTAGTTATTAAACGCAATTTCTTAAAACATAAATTAGAAACCAAAACTTAGTAAGACTATGCAGAAAGAACTGTTTTGCCTGATGCTTTAAATTTTAAGTGTCCTCAACTAAACTCAGAAACCTAAATTATTTGCTTAAAATCTATCATAATGGTTGCTCGACTTATAGTAATTTTTACAGTAACTTAGAGAAAGTAAGAACTTAAGGTTGTATATGTATACATGCTAATTTTCAATGAATGCATGAGGAGTCAGTATACCTAAGTATTTGAGATATTATAGGAATATTACAATTTAAAAGATAGGCTTAAGATAATATAAGTTTAATGAATAGCTATCATCAGCAACTTTGGATTTTTGAGCCAGTTTCCACATTTTAGTAATCATATTATTTATTTATTTATTTATTTTATTATTAATCACTTTACTGGGAGCTCCTTAATGATCTTACTAATACCATATATGCCACATCAAATTGTTTTGAGCATTTAGAGATAAATTATATATAAAGTACTTGTCACAAACAAGACACTAAGAAAAAATAGATGCTAGACAAATAACTGTTTCTTACAATATTAGGCCATTTTGTTTTTAGAAAGTACCGCTGATCCTTTTAAATTTTCTGGGAAAATGCAGTACATGACTGATGGAAATGTTACATTTCTTATTCATTTTTCAAAAGATTTTAACGTTTATGAAATGGGTTCTATTCACCCTTGAAGAACTTTTGTTTTATAACTCTATATAATTCAAAATATGTTTTAAATATTATTAGCTGTGCCCAACAGTGATTTAAATATGGAATACACATCTGCACCTGTATTTTAAGATATTTACTAACTTTTAGCAATTTGTGATCAAGACAAATTTTAAATACTTTAACTTGAGATTTTTAACTCAAATTCTAATTTTAACTCCTTCAATGTCTTATCGCTCCAGTGATAAGTGAAATTTTTGTATAATAAATACAATATATGCTAATTGCAAAAAATAAGTTATACCAGCTTTTAAAAATTTGGTCACATAATTGTTGTCATTCAATATTCTTTTATGACATTTAAACATATTTTCCTTCCATTTTAGATGCCTTTTTGGTTTATTTTATACCTACTTTATTTGATAAACTCATATAAAACTTTTGATTTAAAATTATTAGAGGACTATTTCAGGAAAGACACAAGAAAAGCATCCTTTATTGCTATTTTTGCTTTTAACAGAGTTACTGTTTTTATCAAAACATAAAAGGTATGCTGCCATTGAATTGATGCCACCTCGTGCTAATTTACCATAATGAAATGCTGCCTGGCCTTGTCTCATTACTCAGAATTACTAGCATGTTCAAGTCCACTGTGGTGGCGCCTATGCCAATCCTTTTCAAGAAGGGTCTCCCTCTCCCTTGCTGGCCCTCTACTTAACCACGCAGGACGTCCTCTGCCAGTGGTCTGTTGTGAGCTGGTAACACGGCTGTTCACACCCCTCAACAATGATCCCAGGGAACTCACCAGTGACTTAATCCATGTGGGGGACACTGCAATGGATCTTGGACTTCCATTATCATCCATAGCCTTCTGCAAACTATTTGCCATGTAAGCTCTAATACCATTGCCTCCTTCAGATTTGGGTATATTATTATTATTTTTAATCGTTTTATTAGGGGCTCATACAACTCTTATCACAATCCATACATACATCAATTGTGTAAAGCACATTTGTACATTC